TTTCAATTAACCGTCCCCCTGTCAACTATGCCGAGTGCATGTCACCAATAAAAAGAGCCTGTCAGCAAGGGCGGAGAACCGAAAGCACTAGCACTAGATGACTTAGATGACCAAATGACAAGCGAAAGGCGTTCTGCACTCCATCCGTGGTTTCCCGGATTCATGGTTCAGTGCTGTTCATCTGTCGTTGTTTGTATATTCTATTTATTCCCCTATCTAGAACCCTATTATGCCCCTTCTCGGACGTCCGGACCTTGGGAAGGAAAGCTGGACCCACGGCTCATGGCCTTTGTCCTGGAGGCTGACAGTTTCGGACTGCAATATAGGCGCCTTAAGAATTAGACTAGGGTTTTGCGGCCCATTATACTACAGTTATCACAGTATAGGTAATCATTAAGGCCTCTATGGTAGCGCTTCCAGATTTTGGGCTGGCTAGTTTGCTGTCCCTGGGGCTTCTTACGTTAGACAAATGTCCATCTCTTCCTTTATGAGTTCAGGGCTTGACCACTGAATCTTCTGGGCTCACGTAAGGGCTAAAACCATCATTGAGCTCTCCTGGCGGGCGTGACTTTCCGCACCGGGCTGCCGGAGGTCCTGAGCTCAGTTGAAGGTCGTTCTTCGTCAGCTCGATTTGAGGGGGGGTCAAGTGATATAGGTAAAACAATAATGCTATATCATATGGGTAACAACAACTCTCTGTTATGGTATATGTTTATACGACATGTCCGATTTTATTACACTACATTATAAAGTTACAACATGCTATAGTTTATGTCATATTACATCATACTCGGTTCTCAGCTCAGAACGGGGGGCTTGACAGGCACCCCACCTTGGAAACAATCCCGGTTTTGGGGGTGATGTGGCAACTTCACACAACAGCCCACTAGCACCCAAAGACGTCAGGATGGCGTCCCGGTGGAAGCCGGCGTTGCGGCGTTGGCTCCTGCCGCAGAGGAGCTCGAGCACAGGTTTGAGGCCTTTTCGTCGACTCCCCTGGTCTTGACCCTATAAACCCAATGCTTCGACGTCCGAAATCTTCAAGCCGACTGCATGAAAAGCCTGCACAACTTGCAGCGCCAACTTATCCCCAAAAAAAACTATTTCCAAGAAACAAACATTGCACCCTTCGTATCGGGGGCTTCTTTAGCTAATTACTCCAAGCTTACACGCTCCATGCGACCGGAAGGGCCTCAATAAGGAGACGTTTGTTCAAGACCATCCAAAGCCCCACAAAACCTCAACGAACCGCAAACCCTAAACCGTTTCAACGCTAAACTCTAAACCACTCATTAACCCAAACTACATAGTGCAATGGGCTTAATGGTGCAAACAAACACAGCCATCTTTCCTGCATCCTGGCCGTTTGCCTGCTTGAAGAAGCGGGTACCTGGCAGAAGTATGCAGGATTCCGAGGGATCCCAAATAGTAAAGAATACAGGGACGTTCAGCGCATAGGATAGGGGCCGCACTAATTCCAGTACGGCTTTGGGGTATATCATACGTCTAAGTATACAGGGACCATACTGGGAACAATATTCCTAATCCTAATCCTCTAGCCTTCTCCATTTCTTCTTGCCATGACATGCTTCCGCTAGTCGCTAAAGCTTTATATGCTCAGCGGCAACAAAGGTCACCTACCCTTGGAACTAAACCCTAGGATAAACATCCAGATATCACAGTGGCCTTTTTCTATTGAAGGGGCTTTGGGGTTTTATGCTTGATATAAAAACAAGGAGCCACACAACAGTATTCAGAGTAGTAATGTCAATTATGTAGCCCCCGATATAATAGATATAAGACTCCCAGATGCTGAACCCTTTCAACCCTTATACACCCAGACCTTTTGCAGCCACACCTCCTGAGGTGTTGCCGGGTTTACACTGAGAGTCGCACCGAAGAACGAACAGTACTGGACACAAATTGTGAAAGATACTAGCACTCACGGCTAGCCAATCAATTGTGCACTCTCAAGAAATCATCATGATTTAACATAGCGAACCCCCAAAATCCATTCTAACCATTAAGGCCCCTATATTAGGTTATGTTATATTAAACCCCAAACCGAAGTAGACTCCCTAAACCCTGAAGAAGTCCCAGTAGACTCAGCTATAGTAGAATATACCCCAAAAGTCCATTCGAATTTTTCAGGCCCCTAGATTATGTTGTAAAATTATAGTAAACCCCAAACCGAAGTAGACAACCCTAAACCCTAAACTCTAAACCCTAAACCGTGGCTCAAACCCTAAAGAAGTCCCAGGACCCCGAGTCTCCCTCCTTCGAAAGCCCGGCGGATGGCGGAGGTGGGACCCAGGACTGCCTCGCTGTACCCGGCTTTGAGGAGGGCTTAGGGTTTAGGGGTTTAGGGGTTTAAGGGTTGAGGGGGGTTTAGGGGATTAAGGGTTTAGGGGTTTAGGGCTTAAGGGGTTTACAAGCCTTTTGGGGTTTAGGGGATTAAGGGCTTAGGGGTTGAGGAAAAAGGCCTTCCGGAATTTAGAGGGTAGGGTAGGGCTCAGGGGTTTAAGGGAAAAGGAGCTAAGTTATTGGGGTTTTGGGGTTTCGACACGCACACTCGCAAAGCAAACGCCGATTTCAGGTAGATGAAAGGGGTTTCGGTTTTAGGGTCTATACGAGCCTTCAACTTGTAAGGTTCAGGTCTTGCAGGTTCAGGGTTGCTGCTATGAGGGTTTAGGTTTTGTGCTGTGTGGCACCCGAACTCTGCAGTACCACTCAGAATCAGCCACCACCCCACACACGCACACCCAGTGTAGGGGTCGCGTTAGGAGACGAGCAGGGCAGAGACGGTACCAGAGACAGTGCCCAGGCTACTACATACCAATGAGCATGCCCGGGCTCTGAGAGTCACAATCACTACTGCACGGGGATGAAGGCATCGAATCCTTTTGAAAACACGGAAAAAGTCTGGTGTAGCTGAGAGGATATTCCCTGGGCAGACTCCGGACAAAAGAGCGTGTCTTCGAACACGGATAAAATGCTTCGTGGTGTGAACCTGTAAACGCACACCGTGGCCTCGATGTCGTTGTGCCGATGGCTCCGGTAGGCAAGTGAAGCGGCCTCGAAGCAAGCACGATTGCTGTCACGGAAGCAAAGAAGCACCGAGCCGAAAGCTCTTCAGAATATCAGTGTCCAGGCACTCCAGAGCAACCATCGCAGTGAATTTCACACCGGCTTTGGCTTTAGAACCGCACTGGCAGGTGCCATGTGTCAGCTTTTCGGATCTGCCCTTAAATCACGCCCTGCGTACGGCATATATATATATATACACACACATATTCAGATGTGCCGTGGGGTTGTGTGTATATCAATTAGCTAATTTTCTATCCATCTAATCTATCTAGGTGGCATAAAAGCAATACATGTATGTACGTATATCTATCTGTATATATCTGTATGTAGGTATATGTGTATATACGCGTATATAGGCATACATGCAAGCATACAGACGAACAAACAAACGAACAAACAACATGCGTAATCCACATAGACAAATACATACATACACATTAACACATACATACATACATACATACATACAGTACATTAAATTACAGAGCATTACATTAACGCATACATACATACATACATACATACATACAAACATACATACATACATACATACATACATACATACATACATAAACTACATCCGTTACATAAAGTATACATTACACTACACTACAGTACACTAGTACATTGCATACATACAGACAACAACACATGTGCGTATATATATATATATAGTTATATCTATATATCTATATATATATATATATATATATATGCATAGGATTATATGTATACAGTGTGTATGTGTGTGCATGTGTGAAACTTTGCATGTATGTAAATAGTATATGCATATGTAAACATGCATGTACGTGCACAGTAAACAAAATGCTTCAAGGCTCATGAATGTGCAAGCCGACTTCTGGTGACACACCCAAGGTCCAGGCTGCAGCATAGCGTGCTGCCAGCTTGGCAGCCAGCGCATGATCTTGATCATCCTCCTTCCGTCAGGTTTGAAAGCTAAAATGCGAAACCTCAGTTCAGCCTCTGGGATCCCTCCAGTCCAAGCTTCTGGCTATTGAATTAGCGGCTATTGGTAACTGCAGACAGACATCAAGAACGACATGATGCAATTTTCAGCGCTGTGGAGTTGCCCTGCAGTCACAGAGGTTCTCGGCTCTTCATCGTTGTGCTTCGTCGTGAAGAGCACTGCAGGCACACTCATGGCCGTTCCCGAGTTCACCAGGGACCACTGCCCAGATTTCGGCTCCTGTAGTCTTCGTAGTTCCAATCACATTGGGCGCGAACATCCAGGAACACCAGAACTGGTTGGTCGTGAACGAAGAAGCGAATCAGCGTGTAATTCCTGCGAGCGAAAATGGCTGGAGCCATCGTCCCCACAACACTCCCAAAGCGAGCAGGCCAGATTGCACGTTCTCGGGGCCGAGGAGGGAAAAGGGGAAGACGCTTCCCCAGAACGCTCGCCAGCGTGGGTCTTAAGTGCTTGTCGTCGACGCCAGTTTGCCATCAAGCATGCCCTCGATGCCAAAGATCACGAACATCATCGAAGTCTCTGTGCATGCTGAGCATAATTAGGCTTCGGCGGCCTGCCATGCACCGGTTGACTCTTGCCTGCCTCCAGACTGGCGATCCTGTCAGGTGTGGGATCTGCTGAACAGTGTCGCAGGTGTTAAATAGGGGGCAACTCCGGATGCACCCACCTTCAACTTGAAGTCCGCCATGCTTATGAGTTCCCGCGGAGAATGCCTGCAAGTGCTGCAAAGCCGTCAAAAAGTCATAATATGCCATAAGGACATGGAGGCGTCTAAAACAATGCGAATCCAGCGTGAACTTTTCCGCGAAATGATCGGAGAGAGCATACTCAATGTCATCAACGCGATAGCTCCGGACAGTGCATGACCCCATTACAGGTCTTCTTGTGGACTGCGGCCCTTTTGATCGCAGAGTGTCAAGCTTCACGCTTGCGATTCCCGCTCGACGCAGCCATGCACCAGAACACCGCCGGAGATCACCACCTGAAGTACTTGGCCAAGCAACAAACAATTTCATCACAAGGTCGAACCGAATGCGCATGCGCTTCAATTCTATCACATGCAGCTGCGAATACTCCGTCAAATTGGAAAAGACACTCCAAAGCAACCATGCTGTCAGCATGACGGCAAGATGATGACATCAAAAAAGTTTTCTCCGAAACCCTAACACTATCATGCCCAACTGAAGCTCGGCTACATTCAATGAATCCACACCACTGGCCATCCGGATCTTGACCAACTTGTCGCAGGCTTCGCGCACAGCTCTCTCAACGCCGAAGTGCTCTGACCCAAGAACCAGTGCCCATCGCCTTGGGAGTTCTTGTACCTTCGGGTGCATGATGTTGAATTTCATGTTGCTTCCACCTCAATATGCAGCAGGCCTTGATTGGACTGCAAAACCTAGAACCCAGAACCTGGCTCCAGCGCCTCGTCGAAGTAGACTGCACCATCTTGCACAACCGCAGCCAATGTCAGGACTCCTTCAGCCCGAAGCTGGTGCATGGCCTCGGCTTCCCGCCGCTCGTCCCTCCAAAGCCATATTATGGGCATCCTTACGTAGTCTCTCAAACACCCCCTCTGTCCCAAATGCTAAGGCCCCTAAACAAGCACTCCCAGGATCCTGCAAGCCTTTGCCAATTATGAAGGCCCTACATTCAAGTAAGTATAGTATCCCTTATAGTAACCCTTATAGGTCCCTTTAAACGGAACCCTACCTCAGGTTTCGGGTTTTTCGCCACCAATATCGTTATCGGATTTTTGATTCATGGTCAGCATCGCTACTGCGTACTATGTTCGACATACCACTACCAGCGACTGCTACACACACAGACACACAAAACCCGCAACAATACTCCACGGCACATTTCGTCACGATACATTCCATGGATAACGAAAAACCGTTTGCAATCGTCACACGCATGGCCTCGGGAAGGTCTCCCTGGTAGCAGGGCATGCTGAAGACCTGCCCGCCGGAGACGCGCACCGCCCGTGCGCTGAAAGGGTCGCAACCTTGGATTTCGAGTCAAGTTTCAGATCAAGTTCTGCAGTAGTGTGCTGCTGCAGATGCTGCCGCTGTTGCTACAGCGGCAGGCGAAGATGCCTCTACGCCGACTCCGACCGACGAGGACTACTACTACACATAATAACGACGACGACTACCACCACTACGGCACTACGGCGACGACTTCCACTACCAACATACACTACCACTACCACTACGACTACGACTACGTTACTACTTCATTCGACTTCTCAATGGCGGCGCTACAGTACTTAGCATCAGGCTCAGCAACAGCCAGGGGAGCACAGCACGCCAGAGAGGCCAAATGCTGCTGCGACTTTGAAGAGAGTTCCCACATTCCTGTGCCGCTTATGGCTGTCACAGGCTGAAGGGTTTCGGATTCCAGCCTCACCGGATCGTTTTGAGTTTCTCTCTGTCTCCGCGACTTGTTAGAGTCGAGCCAACCACATGAGAAAACGATTTAATTTGGAACGAAGTTCGCTGCATCCGTTAAGCCGTCCAAAATGATCAGGCGCACTGGTGCTGAGCTGACTGCGAGTCCTGAGCACCCTCAGGCGGAGCAGACCGTCCCTTTTCATGTGCAAAATTACAGTGTCTGATGCGTGCATGGCGGGAAACTCCAAAGAAGAAACTGCAACTTGCTGTAGATTTCAGGCTCAGGGGATCGGAGCTCCAAAAAGAGTCAAAGTTTTGCCAAATCAGCAATGATTCCTGGAAAAACGGAATGCAAACTGGCAGGGGCCCTTCGCCGGCATGCCAATGCGAAAGCCAACTTGGCCCTGCCAGCTCCCAATCGGATCTCCGTTACTTCCTCGATGACTTCAATGCCTGGGTTGTTGTTGAGGGATTTAACTAAAGTTACCATAACGGGGATCTAGAGTAGAGATTTTAGGGTCTCTTTATTATGGCAACTTAGACTGACTGAACCCCTTAACAAGATCCCAGATGCTGCTGCTGAGGATGCTGGAAGGCCCATCTCTTCCCACATCTGCTGGACGCTCCTCTTACCGTTGGGTAGTAGGGAATGGAAGAATGGTATAGTAATAGTAATACTTTGGTAGTAGTAATATGGTAGTAATATGGTAGAAATATGGTAGTAATAGTAGTTATAATTATACCCCATTCCTCCATTCCCTACTAACCAAAGCTAAGTCCTGAAGAACTCGACGGACTTCCGTCTCCATGTGAGGCTGCAGCAGCACTTCTTTGCAGGAATGAGGGCTCATTAAGAGCAAGAGGACTGCATCATAACCTGGGAGGGGGACCCCTGCCCTATAATGGGCTATCATAATGGGTATATAGTAGACAGCTATATTAAGGGTACCTGTCCAGCCGGCCACCCGGACAAGCAGCTTACTATCTCCGTGTACCCCGGATGTTATGCCAAGTCTTCCCTAACTTGCTTTTGCTGTCAAGGCTCCTTCTGCGAGAACCATGTCCGCAGGCAGCTTCCGATGTTTCAACCCGCGAAATGCCTCGAGCCTGTCATCCTCTGCTTCTGTGACACTGCAGATGCAGATGCGGCCCGAGTCCATCAGCAACAGCTTCGCTACGGCTGCTTGAGCTCTTCCGTCTTCGTGCTTGTGGAGATGCGTCTTCTGTGCTGTTGCAGAGCCCGACGGCTTGAAATCGAGCTTTGCGGAAATCTGAAACATACTGAAACCCGGAGCAGCATTCCAACAAGCTGCGGACCCCGAAGCTCACAACCGCACCCCAGAACATCAGCCCCAAACCAACGGACAAGGGTGTAGGAACTATCTTCCGAAGCAAAGACATGGGATGGCTAACATTGCAGGCGCGTACCAAACACCTGATGTTGGCGAGACTTGCGTCAGCATTCGCCGGACCTTCTCCCACGGGAGGGGCCGGCCAACGCGAGAACGGTGACCTCAGTGCTTGTGTCGGCATTTTCGGAAGAATGGCCACAGTGCATGCAGGCGAACCTAAACTCACTGGCCCAAAACCCAGGGAAATAAAAGCTGAAACTTTCAGAATCCACTGCCTTATAAGAACCCCAAAGTTGAAAAGTTCAGTTTAAGCCAATAAGTCAGTAAAAGGGGCAGAAATCTTCAACCTCAACCCTCCCTGACATGTTACGCAATCGGGTCACGGCAAGAATGCGACCCCTCCGGTATTCAGCCGCTACAGTAACCAGAGGGGCTGATCACAAATGGAAGCCGGCTATCGGGACATCCCAGGACACTTGCTCTTCGTGTTTGCACCGAAAAATCACGAAGTGGAATGTTGTCGGTCTAGAACCTCAGAATGTTTATGTGAATGAGCTCCCCTTGGCGTGTATGCGATACTGCTCGGAGAAGAGGCCTCGCATATCCTCGCATTGTGGATCTAGGACTTCGGCTTCGGACTTTTGGCTCCAGATTTCCTCTGAAGCAGTACAGTAGAAGCCAGAAAGTTGGAATATCATTATCATATACTCCCTTTAAGGTAAATTATAGGGGATCCTACCATGAAACCATATTCCAACTTTCTGGAGTTCCCTTTACAGTACAGCAACTTCACCCACAGCACTACCTGGCACAGACAGGCAACTGAAGAAACCCAAAGCCCCCGAAACAAGAGCTCCTCAAAGGCCCACAACACGGCGGCCACTTTGAAAACCTGCCTCAATCAGAAGCATCACAGATGAAGGCCTCGTCTTAACAATACCCCAGCTCCGACCAAGCGTCTAAAGCGCTCCAAAGATGTGGCAGGCATGGCCACGTGGCCCGAGCGCAACCCCGAGACCTAAGACCTGAAGACCTGCTGCTTGCTTACGACTTGCAAGGGTAAAGGCTCTGCGGTGTATCCTTATTGGCTGTAAACTGAACTTTCAACTTTTGAGGTTCTTATAAGGCAGAATCCGAAAGCTTCAACTTTTATTTCCTTGGGTTTTGGGCCAGTGAGTATCTAGTACTATACAATCGTTGATACAGCAGTAGGGATATATGATCCCGGTTCTCGGTTCACCGACCACCCCCCCCCCCCAATGGTATCCCCCCCCCCCACTGTGCAAGCTTTTTCCACACGAGGGCTCACACGCCAAGCAGACCCACTCAGGAAACCCAAACCACACCACACCACAGGGGGGAGCGGGGTCACCAGCCTAAGCAGACCCACTCCCGAACCACACCACACCGCACCACACCACAGGGAGGGAGGGGGAAGCAACCCACAACCACACCACACCACAACAGACCCACTCAGGAAACCCAAACCACACCACACCACAGGGGGGAGTGTGGTAACCAGCCTAAGCAGACCCACTCCCGAACCACACCACACCACACCACAGGGAGGGGGAAGCAACCCACAACCACGCCACACCACAGCAGACCCACGCAGGAAACCCAAACCACACCACACCACACCACAGGGGGGAGTGGGGTAACCAGCCTAAGCAGACCCACTCCCGAACCACACCACACCACACCACAGGCAGAGGCAAGCAACCCACAACCACACCACACCACAGGGGGGGAGGAGGAACCATTTGGGGGGGGGAGGGGGGGGGGCCGGCCGAACCGGAATCATATATACTAATATGGTTGGTGGGCTTTAAGCGCTCTGGGATACAAGTTTCCATCTTCGCTAGATGGTACCATGGTTCGTAGACCCGAATGTTGCAACCACAGCGATGGTCAACATTACGAATTCCGTGGCCAAACCCACCTTAGAATTCAGAAAGAGGCCTTAATAATCAAAATATGGCCTTGGGGGTTAATGTTGTACTATAATCATAATAAGAAGCCCCAACAATAGTATGGATAATTATTGAGGCCTCTCTAGTAGACGACTTCAGGCCGCGCTGGGAAGCCATAAACCGTGTGGCCTGCTTTTGATCATCACCAGGATCACAACGGTGACAGGCTATCGAAGTTCATGGGTTTAGGGTTGCCATGATGTGCCCTTGAGAAAGAGGTGGACCCATGCCACTGAGGGTTGGCGAGCATAGCAAGCGCCGACGACTGGAGAACCATGTTCTTCCGTGTCCATTCCAGGTACTGAAGAACATAACGACTGCCAGTCTACAAACATGGCGTATACCACAATATGCCCTGGAAGAAGGGTCGCAGCACTTACAGGGGAAGAACGAACTTGAAGGTCCATGCGCAGAGCTTAACATTGCTCGGACTTGTCATCATGACGTAGACAGAAGAGAACTTCTAATTGTAAGTCCGCAAAAGGCTTCCAGTAAAGCAAACGTCAGTCGAGCGCGGACGTGTTTACCTAAATGAGCAGGCTCCAGGACTTGCCTGACATTTTCCTGTAACATCGCTTCCCGCCATCAAGCACAAAGCCTGCATGCTTGAGGCCCTCAGCTCATGCTGCAGCAGGCACCGAGGCCGGAGATGTCGTACCCTTGCTCTACAGCAACCCGATCTTTGCAGTCAAGCCTGGCATACAAGTCCACGAGCTATCGTGCCCTCGACCCTCAACTCAACTAGGCAAACCTAATCGACAGGTCAGATGGGTGGCCAACTAGGAGATGGTCGCGGAGATAATTGTCAGCGATGACATTCTGAGTTCTATTGCTACAAGGCAGCCTGCAAGACTTAGCTTCAGCATGGGCGCGAGGTGCGCAACTGTACAAACAGCGCACCAATTCCACGGAGGTGTATACAGAGTGAAGGCGTGCAGGAAAACTTGCGTGTGCCGCACTACTTTAAGACGGCGGGGCAATCGACGACAGGCTTCAGGTCTTCTTGCCGATCTTTGACATCAACCGACTGGGCGGAATGTACGTTAGCCCGTTCAAAATCTCCCTGTTAGATGTGTCATAAGACCCTGGAGCCTCGCCGAGCTGTACTGGGCTGAACCCCCACGCAGGAGATCAGGTATTCATATCTATACCTATGTATATGCATGCACAAACTTACCTATGTAGAAACACGTATGCACATATGTACCTATGCACACCATTCTCACGGTAAGCAAGACTTATTCTGCTCGAAAAATGCTGTGTGTGTGTGTATGTGTGTTGCGTGTTTGTTTGCTGCTCTTGCATGTTGCAAACCCATGTATTGTCAATCATTTATTGGGAGTGGTGAAACCTTACATAGTGCAGGTCGGTCATTCTGTGTCGGAAGTACTCCGTCTCATTTTGCGCACCGTGCGCCCACCAACGACCTGAGAACAAGCAACTACCAGCATTGAGTCCGAGACAAGAAGCCGCACGCACGAGAAGGAGCACGTGTCGGGGATGTCTGTATTCCCTGACATATGCGAATTCTACAGCAGACTCTGGCTGCGTAAAGGACATCATGCGTGGCAGGTCAGCACCCGTGGCACCCGAATCAAGCTCCGACACCTCCTGCCCCGAATCCCCAGGTAGGTCTGCGGCCAGGGAAGTCATCTTCTGAAAATCCAAGGAAACGGACATTCCTTGAGTCTTGACCTGCGAAATATTGCATGTTGTTTTGAGGCCAAGTACACTTGTGTCCGATTTATATACATGATTACACGTCTATACCCACAGACAGGCATATTCTGTGGTGTCTGATATGCAGTATGGTATGGTGGTTGTTGGGCTGCAGTTCGTTGATTTTTGCTGAACCCTTCCAGCAGCCCAGAACAGATGAATAATCACCTCCCTAAATGAACAAGGTTTCGGGTTGAGCTGCCATCGACTCGAAGCTCGGAAAGTGAGGCGGCGAGCAGAAACCTCTACAGCAAGTCATAGGAAGTGCCACGGCAACAGCTACTCTAGCTCTCTGCAAGTGGCAGTCGGAGCTTTTACGAACATGCCCGTTTCCCAACACGCGCACATATGCTGGTTATTGAAGCCCTCCAGCCCGGAAAGCTCAAGCCCTATCAATCCTAGTCCTAAACTCTCAACGAGATCGCAGACAGCGCAACAGCTTTGAACACGAAGCGGTTCGGCAACGAAAGCCTTCAGCAAAATGCCGGTGAAGGGTGAAAGTTGGGATCTTGAGGCAGATCCCTGTATTGAATCTTGAAATTGCTGTGTACTGTGTCTGCCTACAGAATGAGCCAAATTGACCCTCCACCAAACCGGTAGGCCCTGCTCGGCGAAGGTAGGGCCGAAACCTAAACTCTAAACATCCCCCTGACACCTCAAACCCTGAACCCTTATGATCCCCTAAACCCCTATAAACCAAAAAAAATTCTCAGAAACCTCGAGGCCCTCAACCCTTAACCCCTGAACCGTTATCAGCCCCTGAACCCCTATAAGCACACAAGCCTTTTCAAAACCCGAGGCCCTCGACCCTTCTACCCGCCGAGAACCCCCGGGCCTCAATGCGACGGCTGCCTCCCGAGCAGAAGCTTTGGTACAACTTCTCGACCTGTGAGTTTCCCCGGGTTTAGGGTTTAGGGTTTAGGTTGGTTGGTTGGTTGGTTGGTTTAGGGTTTAGGGTTTAGGGTTTAGGGTTTAGGGGAAGTAAGCTTGACAATGAGCTTGACAATGGAGAGGCCTTAATGGGTTTGATTGGGTTCTTTTAACTGTTCCTTGAGGAGTATTAATGGCTCTAATCGCGTCACTTTAAGGGTTCCTGTCAGGAGTACTAAAAAGGTCTAGTATATTGGTCTTACTAGATATAAGACCCCTTTAAGGGTGCCAGTAAAGGCTTTAAAAAACCCAGGGTAACTATGACGGCTCCGTTCTGGAGGTCATGGAAATGAATGAGTTCTTTCCAGCGACATTTTGCGTTCATTGCATCAAGGAAACCCGATGAATAATGACAGACACCATTGAGGCTTATATAATGGAGGCTTGTTGAGGGGTTGCTATTTAAGCAACAGGGCTCCGCCAATTTGTAGGTTTCAGAGGCTGTACAAGGTTGAGAGGGCTTCGGCTTAGGGCTTGTAGGGTTTAAGCACACCTATTAGGGTTTAGTTTAGTGTCTATGGGGCCGCAATTTGTTTTGCGGTGTAGTTCACCCACGATTGTCTGTCTGCGAGCTTGATGTGACTCCTGCCAAGATTCGTTGATGGATCCGGCAAACCTTTCTGGGCGGAGACCCCCGACCGATATAGCGCAGTGAGCAGAGTGCATATTCATGCAGCTGCTGTCTTTCAGCATCTGAGACTGAGAATTCCTACTGCGCAGTCTGTCTTGTTCGATTCTATGCCAATCGACATCCGTTGCGTTGTTCGTCCCGGTGGCGCTGGCCATAGTGACCACAAGTGTGGGGGTCCCGAGACCCGAGATCGTGTCTTCAACAATATGATTACGAACCATGGGCCTTCATAGAGTTTATGGAGACATATCGTATCGAAGTAAACCACGGCTCAGCCAAACCCGAAAAAGTCCTTCCATCTCTTCCGCGAAGCCGAAGCCCCTTAACATCTGCAGCACCATACACTAAACGAAACCCTAATCCCAGATCAGTCCTAAACCGATGTACCCTGAATCGCCTCGTCTTGGCAATCATCACCGAAGGGTTTCCAGCCAGTACCGGCCTCCGAAGTTGCTGATTTGAGGTTTGGAAGTCGATGCTTTAAGGGTTTAGGGTTTAGGGATTTAAGGTTTAGGGGTTTCGGCGCTCAGGGTTTGGAAGGTATGGCGTTTCAGGTTTGGCAGTTTCGCATTTGGGGGCTCAGGGTTAACAAGGCATATAGGCTTCCGGCTATACGGACGCGCGTGCATGGACCGCGCGTCCTAAGCAAAGCCGGAAGCTGCTCCACCAGCAATCCTGGTGGCATTGGTTGTGGCGGCTGCTCGGTGTTTCTTGTGGCATCCCCGTCTGCATGCACCGCAACATCCCTAGAATTACCCGAACCCCGAAACCCTGGAATGAAGCCAACGGCTATAGACCTACGCTTATCTCTAGAATTCACCCAAACAGTAAGACTTGGGATTCGATCCAAACCCTAAATCCGAAACCCTAGAAAGAACACCAAAATCAGAGCTTTTAAACCATGAGTGAAGCCACATCTTACAAATCCCTAAACCCTAAAACTCTAACCCTGCGCCTCCCCTCCCATTCCCAGCCTCAAACTCCCACACGGCTGGTGCAGCTTTGATGCCTGGACCAAAGGCCCTGACCTTCGGAGAAACGCTGGGGGTTTCGGGCTTTGGGGTTCAGGGCTAAGAGTTGGGGTTCAAGGTTCTCGATCTTGGGGATTCTTTCGGGTTGAATCGTCCACAGTCGAAAATCTGGGGCACCTGAACGACGAACTACTCGAGGCTGAACTCCAAATCCCTCGGTCGGAAAGCACCCTCATACCATGCCCCTGTGGCAGAGGCCGAACAACACTGTCTCAACTTGTGAATCTGTGGGGCGGCCTTGCTTTGCAGATACTGCACATGGCACACGGGTTCTCGGCGCATAGCGCAGACGAGTACATGGCAAAGCGGTGCCCAACTATGCGGGGCTGGGCTCGGGCGCAGCTGCGAGCATGCCGAGGATGCCGCTGCCTTCGAGGAGGGCGAAGATGAACTGGAAAGGCTTCGCGTTCTCCAACTTCATCACGAGCCTGATGTCACTGGGGAGGTTCTTCAGCTCCACTGACTCGATGCTCACCAAGTCCTTGTTCACTGCATTCATGACTTCCACGCCTGCTGCAGCAAGCGGGTGCGATGCAAATTTCTCCAAGTGATGCTGCTGGGCCAAAGACCTGTATTGCTCCTGTAGGCCCCGGAAGGTCATGTTCAGCACGGGCAGCGACGCGAAAATGCCCTTGACAATTTCGTCATCGTAGGCCACACGGACATCCACTGAGCCGCCAGTGAAGATCTGCATCAGCTTCTCGCTCATCGCCAAAGCATAGTCCGCAGGCGTCTTCGCGACACCACTGCCACCACAGAGAGGCGCACACGTATGATTGTACTTGCACTGAGACTCCTTCCAGCTAGCACGTTCTTCTTCATTATCCTCATCATCGAAAGCAAGGCATTTGGCCAGCGAGCAGCAGCTGTTTGAGTGATCAACATCCACGCACAAAGCCTCCATTGTCGGGCACTCTACTTCGTGGTGGCTTCTCTGCTTCATCTGCTCAACAAGGGCCTTCTCAACAGCGTCGGTGAGCGTGGCATCCAACATGATTTTGGTGCCCGTCTTCGCCTGATTCCAGATCGAGTCATCAGGGTGCGCCATCATGTGTTCGATGTTGTTGTTCGCCGACACGGTGAACGTCAAGTGGCCGATGTGCTTCATGATCATGGTGAGCTCTTGCTTTAAGTGTGCTGTGTCCCCTGGCAACGGCATACTCAAGACGGTCACCAGGCTGCCGTAGCTTTGAACTTCCAAGAAGGGCCCGGTGTTCAACTTCTTTACCAGGCCGTTGCACAACTCTGCAAAGCTTGCGGCAGCCTCTGCACTGGCGGCTGTAACGTTCACTTCGATCTGCAAGCTCAGGGAGGGGTCAACGGCGGCCTTGCTATCGTGGAAGAGCATGTAGGAAACGTTCTCGTGGGTGTCGAAGTGGCCCAGGCTAGGGCCCATCGAAATCGTTGCCTTCAGCGGGATTAGCTTCGTCGGAGTTGGCGGAAGCTCTCTCTCTAGCGACTCCATTGCATGTTCGCTTGCTGCTTCAGCCTTGAGAACTCGATTGGCCACCGAAGCCTCCACCTCCTGCACTGTCTCCACCTCTGGCGTTGGCATGAACTCGACCTGGTTCCTCCAGGTGTGCATCTGCTTGGGTGCTGGGGTCGTTTCCGGCGCTGGTGGCGTAGTCTCGGCTGATTCGCGCAGAAACTTGATCACGCCCAGATCCTGGAGCATGCTCCCGGCGACTTTGAAGGGGTGCACATTTGTGAACGTCACCTGTGCCGCAACTCCGGGAAGATTCTTGATCGCCACGGTGTCCAGCGTGTCCAAGTCGTTGGCAGCCTCCATGACGTCAGCGAGCGGGCCCAACCAGGGCTGGGTCGAACCATTCACAGACGGCTTCATGTAATCCCAAGGAACGGACATCTTGGCAACGATGTCGTTGAAGCTGGCATTCAAGAATGGAATGGACTGGAACAGCTCACGTCGCTTGGCGTCGTCGTAGGACAGGCGCATGTCAGAGGAGGCTCCTTTGAACATGGCGACCACATTCTCGACGATGTCTTTGGTCTTCTGCTGCTGCATCTCGATTTTTTCCTTGCAGTATTCCCAGCAGGAGGTGCGGTTGAAGAGGCACATATCGTCCTGGTAACGCGGATACTCTGAGCCAGCCTCAAGTGGATGAAGGCAGCTGCTGGTGCTGCAGCAGTGCCCCTGCCAACTGTACGGACATGGAAGTTCACCCGAACTGCAGCTGCCTCGCAGAGGACCTTCGTTGTTCAGAGGATTGGCGTGTCCTGTTAGCTGCAAGATCTTCTCGGAGATGACCTTCTCGAGAGCTTTCGTCAATGCCACATCCATCTCCACGCGGAAGCCCTGAAACATCTCCTCCAGGATGGGCCTGTTCTTGTCCTTCAGCACCGTTGCCGCATCCATCATGGTGCTCTCCGTGACGTTGATGTGCTTCAGGTGCGTGGCGAACATCTTTACGGCATGCACCTCGTGGGGCGCGAGGACTCGATGGACACTTAGCAGGGTCAGCTTCTCATGCCAGCAGGACAGCGAGAACATCTGGGAAATCTTCACAGGACCGGTGACTGAATCGATTGCCTGCAGCAAGCGATCGACCTTCGATTTGAAGGCGTCACAGCTGGCTCCATCGACGGCAGACAGATTGGCTTCCAGCCAATACTCACCTTCTGGGTCCGATGGAGCAACGCCTTCGGTGGTGATGACATAGTTGACCGCGGTCTTGGGCACGATGTCATCAAGACTTGGACCGACCTGGTCGACGGTCGAGACGGTGGCCCACGTCTGAGCCTCTGCCTTGGGAGCTGCGTTGAGGCCCTCATCGACATTCTCCACGACCGCCTCCACAGTGGCTTCCGCTTTGGCGATGTCCTCGGTGAACTCAACCGCGTTCCTCCAGCTGTGCATCTGTTTGGGTGCTGGAGCAGGGGCCGGCGCTGTCGGAGCAACTCCCACCTCCTGCACTGTCTCCACCTCTGTCGCTGGCATGAACTCAACCGCGTCCCTCCAGCTGCGAACCTGGTTGGGTGCTGGGGCCGGGGCCGGCTCTGGTGGCGGCGTAGTCTCGGCTGATTCGCGCAGAAACTTGATCACGCCCAGATCCTGGAGCATGCTCCCGGCGACTTTGAAGGGGTGCACATTTGTGAACGTCACCTGTGCCGCAACTCCGGGAAGATTCTTGATCGCCACGGTGTCCAGCGTGTCCAAGTCGTTGGCAGCCTCCATGACGTCAGCGAGCGGGCCCAACCAGGGCTGGGTCGAACCATTCACAGACGGCTTCATGTAATCCCAAGGAACGGACATCTTGGCAACGATGTCGTTGAAGCTGGCATTCAAGAATGGAATGGACTGGAACAGCTCACGTCGCTTGGCGTCGTCGTAGGACAGGCGCATGTCAGAGGAGGCTCCTTTGAACATGGCGACCACATTCTCGACGATGTCTTTGGTCTTCTGCTGCTGCATCTCGATTTTTTCCTTGCAGTATTCCCAGCAGGAGGTGCGGTTGAAGAGGCACATATCGTCCTGGTAACGCGGATACTCTGAGCCAGCCTCAAGTGGATGAAGGCAGCTGCTGGTGCTGCAGCAGTGCCCCTGCCAACTGTACGGACATGGAAGTTCACCCGAACTGCAGCTGCCTCGCAGAGGACCTTCGTTGTTCAGAGGATTGGCGTGTCCTGTTAGCTGCAAGATCTTCTCGGAGATGACCTTCTCGAGAGCTTTCGTCAACGCCACATCCATTTCCACGCGGAAGCCCTGAAACATCTCCTCCAGGATGGGCTTGTTCTTGTCCTTCAGCACCGTTGCCGCATCCATCATGGTGCTCTCCGTGACGTTGATGTGCTTCAGGTGCGTGGCGAACATCTTTACGACATGCACCTCGTGGGGCGCGAGAACTCGATGGACACTCAGCAGGGTCAGCTTCTCATGCCAGCAGGACAGCGAGAACATCTGGGAAATCTTCACAGGACCAGTGACTGAATCGATTGCCTGCAGCAAGCGATCGACCTTCGATTTGAAGGCGTCACAGCTGGCTCCATCGACGGCAGACAGATTGGCTTCCAGCCAATACTCACCTTCTGGGTCCGATGGAGCAACGCCTTCGGTGGTGATGACATAGTTGACCGCGGTCTTGGGCACGATGTCATCAAGACTTGGACCGACCTGGTCGACGGTCGAGACGGTGGCCCACGTCTGAGCCTCTGCCTTGGGAGCTGCGTTGAGGCCCTCATCGACATTCTCCACGACCGCCTCCACAGTGGCTTCCGCTTTGGCGATTTCCACGGCAGGTTCAAAATTGAGCTTTGCTGCGAGGTTGCCACTGTTCCGACGCCCGGCCGAAGGGCTTGCCAAGCAGGAAAATGCTATGAATGCCACGATCGTGTGCATGACGGTCGTTGCTAAGTGGGATTGCGCAAAAGAGCGGCGCGATGGATATGAGCCCCTGATGGGATAATGATATAGGCTTGATCAGGGCACTTGAGCCGCAGCCATGCGGTTCAGGGAAACTCAGCTTGCAGAAGCACGAGCGAGAATACACAAACTACGGTAACAATCCGCACAGGTCCTTGCATCGAGCATGCAAGCATCAAGTGAACATGTCAGACATCATGCATCCGAGGGCGGCAGAAAAATCAAAAACAGACTCCTCCTCACGTGTTATATATATATATATATATATATATATTTATTTATTTATCTATTTATTTATGTATTTATTTATACTTACTCATTTGTTTATTTATTTCTACAAACATACCTAAATACATACATCCATTCATTCATGCATGCATGCGTACAAGCCCTCCCTTGTGTTGCAAAGGTTTCCTGGGGCCCACCTGGTCCCCAGTCGCCCCCCCAAAGAACTATTTGCTAGTAACATTAATAGTAATATTAATGGTAATATTTCTAGTAATATTCATGGTAGTATTACTAGTAACATTAATGGCAATAGTAATAGTAATATTAATAGGAACATTGATAATAAAGTCCATAGTAAAGGATCATGGACTGGCGGCTCACTGAGACCGATGTGCACTTCATCAAGGATGTCTCTCACTTACCCTCCCTCTCTCTGACTTGACTGCAGCCGCGGTTTTATGCGGTTTTCGTCATCCCTGTCCACGAAGAGATGGGCTGCCCTTTCTCCAAAAGTTGTATGGCGTTGTCGCAGAAGGTCTTACAAAGGGTATTGGCATTGACTCTAAGGAATCAAGTATACAAGTTAGGCCGATCGCTCCCCTTCCCAAGGCTCCCTCGCTGCAGGGACGGCAGTCTCCAGAGGCCACAGGTAACAGAGGGAGCCTAATAAATTAGAATAGGGTTCCCTTTGAAGGGGTCCGGAAAGGGATGTATAGTAGGGTTCTATAGTATATAGGGAGCCTGATAATTAGAATAGGGTTTGCGGTATCAAACTGCAGCACAATTTTGGTAAGGAAGCCCCCACAACGGCATACATGCATATGTATATATATGTATATATATATATATATATGTAGGCTGCGACATCATCAAGGGAGTAGAAAGAAACACCGCAGATCGCTTCACCTCTCAAGCACGGCGCCATAATGGCAAATGAAGGGGAGGGCTTGGAGACTTAGGAAGAATGTATTTCCTAGCATGCTTGTGGGCGCCAAGACAGCCAGCGTCGATAGCACACGCGAGCGATACCGAGAGATTGGATACTGTTCGTCACAGAGTACATCACAGGAGGGTCTGTTTTCGTCTGCTAAGTTGACTAGCTCGTGTATGCCACCAACAAAAACGAAAACATACCAAGTCCCCCGCCACGGCGGAACAAATCTGCACACACAACACACAGCCTCGTCGTGGTCAGCGACGACGCCGATGATCTCTGGAGCAACCCGGGCCTCGGCGAAACCGTTTTGAAGGATCTGCCAAGATTTTATATCTGTAGTTCAAACACCCGAAACCTTCGTTTCCATGTTGCGCGGAGGACCAGTGGCTTTGCAGAGTATGTCTGCGTGCAGAACGGTAAAACTGTAAATCTGAATCATCTGTATAGCTGTGTTTGTCAATGTGTACTGCGAGTTCCTGGAACAGACGAGACTCACTCAGCACGGCTCGCATGATGGCAACACAACACAGGCTAAAGCAAAACATCTACCATAGTCAGACATGTCAGACCATAGTTAGCATTTAGCAAACGACAACTCGGCTACGGAGCAGCAGAAGGCTGTTTTCCTGCTGTAGTCTGCCAGAGCGGTGGCCAACTACGCGGGGGGCGCAGCGGCGAGCATGCCGAGGATGCCGCTGCCTTCGAGGAGTGCGAAGATGAACTGGAAAGGCTTCGCGTTCTCCAACTTCATCACGAGCCTGATGTCACTGGGGAGGTTCTTCAGCTCCACTGACTCGATGCTCACCAAGTCCTTGTTCACTGCATTCATGACTTCCACGCCTGCTGCAGCAAGCGGGTGCGATGCAAATTTCTCCAAGTGATGCTGCTGGGCCAAAGACCTGTATTGCTCCTGTAGGCCCCGGAAGGTCATGTTCAGCACGGGCAGCGACGCGAAAATGCCCTTGACAATTTCGTCATCGTAGGCCACACGGACATCCACTGAGCCGCCAGTGAAGATCTGCATCAGCTTCTCGCTCATCACCAAAGCATAGTCCGCAGGCGTCTTCGCGACACCACTGCCACCACAGAGAGGCGCACACGTATGATTGTACTTGCACTGAGACTCCTTCCAGCTAGCACGTTCTTCTTCATTATCCTCATCATCGAAAGCAAGGCATTTGGCCAGCGAGCAGCAGCTGTCTGGGTGACCAACATACACGCACGGAGCCTCCATTGTCGGGCACTGTACTTCGTGGTGGCTTCTTTGCTTCATCTGCTCAACAAGGGCCTTCTCAACAGCGTCGGTGAGCGTGGCATCCAACCTGATTTTGGTGCCCGTCTTCGCCGAATTCCAGATCGAGTCATCAGGGTGTGCCATCATGTGTTCGATGTTGTTGTTCGCCGACACGGTGAACGTCAAGTGGCCGATGTGCTTCATGATCATGGTGAGCTCTTGCTTCAAGTGTGCTGTGTCCCCTGGCAACGGCATACTCAAGACGGTCACCAGGCTGCCGTAGCTGTGAACTTCCAGGAAGGGCCCGGTGTTCAACTTCTTTACCAGGCCGTTGCACAACTCTGCAAAGCTTGCGGCAGCCTCTGCGCTGGCGGCTGTAACGTTCACTTCGATCTGCAAGCTCAGGGAGGGGTCAACGGCGGCCTTGCTATCGTGGAAGAGCATGTAGGAAACGTTCTCGTGGGTGTTGAAGTGGCCCAGGCTAGGGCCCATCGAAATCGTTGCCTTCAGCGGGATTAGCTTCGTCGGAGTTGGCGGAAGCTCTCTCTCTAGCGACTCCATTGCATGTTCGCTTGCTGCTTCAGCCTTGAGAACTCGATTGGCCACCGCAGCCTCCACCTCCTGCACTGTCTCCACCTCTGTCGTTGGCATGAACTCGACCTGGTTCCTCCAGGTGTGCATCTGCTTGGGTGCTGGGGCCGGGGCAGGGGCCGGCGCTGGTGGCGTAGTCTCGGCTGATTCGCGCAGAAACTTGATCACGCCCAGATCCTGGAGCATGCTCCCGGCGACTTTGAAGGGGTGCACATTTGTGAACGTCACCTGTGCCGCAACTCCGGGAAGATTCTTGATCGCCACGGTGTCCAGCGTGTCCAAGTCATTGGCAGCCTCCATGACGTCAGCGAGTGGGCCCAACCAGGGCTGGGTCGAACCATTCACAGACGGCTTCATGTAATCCCAAGGAACGGACATCTTGGCAACGATGTCGTTGAAGCTGGCATTCAAGAATGGAATGGACTGGAACAGCTCACGTCGCTTGGCGTCGTCGTAGGACAGGCGCATGTCAGAGGAGGCTCCTTTGAACATGGCGACCACATTCTCGACGATGTCTTTGGTCTTCTGCTGCTGCATCTCGATTTTTTCCTTGCAGTATTCCCAGCAGGAGGTGCGGTTGAAGAGGCACATATCGTCCTGGTAGCGCGGATACTCTGAGCCAGCCTCAAGTGGATGAAGGCAGCTGCTGGTGCTGCAGCAGTGCCCCTGCCAACTGTACGGACATGGAAGTTCACCCGAACTGCAGCTGCCTCGCAGAGGACCTTCGTTGTTCAGAGGATTGGCGTGTCCTGTTAGCTGCAGGATCTTCTCGGAGATGACCTTCTCGAGAGCTTTCGTCAACGCCACATCCATTTCCACGCGGAAGCCCTGAAACATCTCCTCCAGGATGGGCCTGTTCTTGTCCTTCAGCACCGTTGCCGCATCCATCATGGTGCTCTCCGTGACGTTGATGTGCTTCAGGTGCGTGGCGAACATCTTTACGACGTGCACCTCGTGGGGCGCGAGAACTCGATGGACACTTAGCAGGGTCAGCTTCTCATGCCAGCAGGACAGCGAGAACATCTGGGAAATCTTCACAGGACCGGTGACTGAATCGATTGCCTGCAGCAAGCGATCGACCTTCGATTTGAAGGCGTCACAGCTGGCCCCATCGACGGCAGACAGATTGGCTTCCAGCCAATACTCACCTTCTGGGTCCGATGGAGCAACGCCTTCGGTGGTGATGACATAGTTGACCGCGGTCTTGGGCACGATGTCATCAAGACTTGGACCGACCTGGTCGACGGTCGAGACGGTGGCCCACGTCTGAGCCTCTGCCTTGGGAGCTGCGTTGAGGCCCTCATCGACATTCTCCACGACCGCCTCCACAGTGGCTTCCGCTTTGGCAATTTCGTCTGAGGGTTCAAAACTGGATGAAAGCCCGAGCTGCGCTTCCAGGTTGGCATTGCTCCGACGTCCGGAAGCAGGGCTTGCAAGGCAGCAGAACGCTATGAATGCCGCGATCGTATTCATGACGGTCATGGCGAAGTGGGATTGCGCAGAAAAGCGGCTCGATTGAGATGTTCCGCGATGGGTTAATGTTCTAGGCTTGTTCTGGGCGTTGAGCCGTCGCCACGAGGTTTAGGGCAAGTCAGCTTGCAGGAGCACAACCTCGAAACAAATTATTTCGATCGTCGGTGTCTGGCCTGTTTGCACCGAGCATCTAAATCACGAGGTGAATCTGCTCAGCATAGGACTGACATGTATGTTGGCTGTCTGTGTAAAGTGCCGCCACGGTCTTAGCATGTCTATAGCGAATTAACAAGCCAGCTGGCAAGTGGAAGCTGAGCACGGCCAGGCCTTACGCGAGACGGCGTCGGCTGAGTGCCCTGCATCAGATCCTGGTGATCCCGAAACACCTGGTCGACAAACCATTCGTGAAGAGTGCCTTCAACAACACAGGTCCTAGACGTTGAGTTTTGCCTTCTACGGATGCAAGGAGGATTACTACGACTGCGACTACGAGGGTGCTGGTGCGTGGACATGGTGGAACTCTCCTCGGAACTGAGGAGGTCGCCAGATGGCATTCGGCCGCGTCTGGGTGAGCCAGCCTGAAGCCGTGGGCAAACCCAAAAAGGGAGTACCTGAACCCCAAAAGTATGTAGAATCATAGCCTTTTAGAGGCTTTGGGCCATTATTTTGCCTACTTTTGAGGGTCTAGATACGAATACTAAACCACTTTTCCAGGACCCTCCTCGTACCCTCAAAACAGGGGTAGATGGTCCCAAATAAGGAGCATCTAGGGTCTGACGGAGGGTAGATGGAGGGTCTAGGTTATGATACTCATATTCACAGTAGTATACTTACATACTCATAATAACCTCATTGCAGAAGTTTGTTTTTTTCGGAAGGCGGGTTCGTTTGCGAGTAACCGAAAACTATGCGACATGAAAGCGTGATGACATGGTTGTAGAAGGAAGGCCCAGGCACAGTCAATAACTTGCATCGTGAAGCCTGTACTGAACCAAGAAGTCAGACAATCTTCCAATCTGGCAACCTACTGCAAAACGCCACACCCTTGTGCCTGCAAGGACTCCGCCCCCAGGAGAGACTCCATTAAACTCGAAGCACTCAACCCGTCACCACAGCATCCTGACTTCCTACAGTGGCGCATCAACATGATGCCAAGGCCCGAAAATGTTCTATGCCACTCAAACGGACCAAAACATATGCATGCTCTGGAAGGTCTCAGCTGCAGGCAGATCTGTCGAAGCCCTGCGCGGTCAACAAAACGGTCTCTCTCTCTCTCTCTCTCTCTCGAAAGAGGGTTCACTTTCTCGGTCAAAGCATTTCCGTTCTCGTGCAGTCCCTGCTTTGTGCCTCTCCGCCTCTCCCTCTCCCTTCCCGGCTTCAAGCTTTCAGGATGTTGAGCTGTATGATGAACCTAACCGACCAGATCGAGAGCGACTCCTAAACCGACACACGTCTCAAGCAAACCATGCTTGGCTTGATGATCGGGAGTGAGGAGCTTCCTGTAAGGTTCTTACAGGTTGTCAGGTATATAGCTCGGAACTGAAGGGAATTCAATACAAGACTTAACTGTTCAGGGTAGAAGAGTATACGGCTAAGCGGCTAAGATCGACTACGCAGAGATCAAGGCGTTGGCCTCCAATGCTTGCCCAATCCATGTGCGAAACCCTAACCTACCCTACCAGTAACCCTACCTAACACCCTTTTCGCAGCCAGGCCTCCCCGAGCTGTTGCCCGCTTCACTCCCTGCAGCCTTCGCCTCTCCACCCCCACTCAAGGCACATTTGAGGCACATTTGCGGGTCGGCCTCCCGCTCTCTGAGCCTGTCTCGTCCTGGTATCTCTGCTTTATTGGCGTTGAGAATGGGGTTAAGAGATTGGGGCATCCAAGCCGCCTCTTCGAATCGTTTGCACAAAGATACACTTTCACTGTATAGGCTTGCCCTGCCACATCCTACCTGGCTCTCGGGCTCAAGTTGCTGAGGCCACAAGGAATTTCCTGTATCATCTAGCACCAAACAACACCTATTCGCAACTCGTTGAATCCTGCATCCACAAGACTCCGAAGTCGGCTCAGTTCCCACCCTCTCCATCACCCTTATAACTATACTGAACTTAGAACCCTAGCAAAAATTGTAATTTTAGCTCTTTCGTAGGGAATATAATAACCAAAAAGTGAAAAACATTTCTAAGTACCCCTAAGATAAGGTCTAAACATAAGACTTCCAAGTCAGTGCGGTCTCATCCTCTGCAACCATGAAGTTTAAGACTAACACCCGCAGGCACAACAACTATGCAATTCATTGTACTGTCAACTTGCAAAAATCCGAAACAGACCGAGGTCTGAAACCTGGGTTGTATTCACAGAGGATTCGGGTTTGGGGTTTTGGGTTTTGGGGGTAGTTCCCTCCCACACCGACATTGCCTAGTGCGACTGCAGTTGGGCACCGGCTCCCAAAATGAAGGGCTAAAGGGTGTGCAGCCGAGCCCGGCACGGCTGGCGCGGCGGCCCTGGTGACCCCGGCGGCGACCCCAATTCACAATCTCGCCCATCAGCGCGCCTTCCTGTCGACGAAGGATCCCAGTTTTAGGCCCCTGAAAACGCTTTCTAAACCTCTACCAGGACCCTCCTTGCACCCTCAAATAGGGGTATATGGTCCCAAATAAGGGCCTTTAGGGTCTAATAGAAGGTAGATGGAGGGTCTAGGTAGACTCCAAACCCCTGGAGCTATCTGGCTTGTAGGGCGCAGTAGTTGCCACCATACCTCACTAGCCTTCTTTTAGCATTGCCGCAATGTGTTCATAAACATCGAGATTGGTCTACTGACGGCAGAGACCACGACTGTGAATAGTTACGAGCAGGATGATGATGGTGATGACTGCTCTGCGGCAACATACTTTCGAGTTCTATCTAGTTCTTGCCTTGCTGTCAATAGAAGAATGCGATCAGCGATATCATCCGGACTGAATGCTGCAGCCTGCCTGGACATCGGCCGTCCCAGGAGCGAGATTCTCAGGGTTCACATCCTTGCAGCACCGAGTCGAAAAGAATCTCAGTCACAACCCCCAGCCGGCACTGACCATGAGAAAACGAAGCCGAGACCACAAAACATAGAAGTCAACTGAACTACAGAAACTGAGGGTTTTATGTGTAACACATTGAAATTGATGCAGTCTTTGATCTATGAATGTCAAAGCTTCTAGTTGGCACTTGATACCAGGTGATGATTTTGGGGTTCGGGGCGGCTGAACGGAGGGGAAGCCTGGAACAAAGCACGAAGTGTTCGAAGGCATTCTCACACGGACGGCTTCTCCCCAACCAAAGTCTTCTGTCTTTGCCTCGAGCGATGGGAGAGCTAAGGAGTCCAGGCAACTCAGACGACTTGTTCCACAAAGGTGACACAACAGCCTTCCCATCAGTTGCTCAGGAGAGGTCACGATCTTGCCTGACGTCGTTCCGGGGGTGCTTGTTCGGTGACCGGTGAAAGCAGATCGGCTGGAAGGCGTTGTGTTCAGACCTTCTCCGCTCACGGTGGCAGGAACCAGAACACGCAAGAGCATCGCAACCCCCCGGCAGAAATGCGATTTCTTTTGCATGAATTATCTGGAACGGAACGGTTATGGGCGCACTGGTATTGCCGGGTGCAGCAGATCGCGCAATGTATGTTGTCAGAGCGGCGAGGAGGTAGGCGAGTACGCAATCCGGTGGCAGTCCCGCCATTGTACAAGCAAGGTCCAATTACTGTCCGATTCCAGAACATCCGCTGCCCTGGGTCAAATAAGGACCCTGTACCCAAAGCTGACCAGCCAGACCGAGAACATATCTGCGGGGACGCGAGACACGCAAAAACAAAACAGGAACTAGGTCAGCATTATCGTCATCCACTCGGCCAGCCGCGGACACGTGCATGAGTACGTGAATCGCACCAGAAACACCACCATCACGACGGGCATCATCCTCACGACGCGCATCATCATCACCATCACCACTACCACCACCAGCAAAACATGACAAAACCATGAATGGAGAGCCTCGGCAATAATCCTCAAGCACAAAACGAGTCGAAATGGACCATCTCTCCGCCCCAAATTGAAGCTCTGAGAATCTAGAAAACCTTCAAAATCCTAAAACTTCGGCTCAAGCTCAAGCCTTACGAGTCTTGGAGAGATTGCATCACAGTGTCATACTAATGCAAGGTCTGCCAGGTTTAGAGCTGTTGGACAGGGCCTATAGGGTTTAGGTCGGGTGGCTCTTCTGGGGATACGATGATTGCTACAAGCACTTAGCCTCTAAGCCCTGTAAACCCCAAATCCAAAAACCTGAAGACTTCGAGGCACCTCCGGGAGGCCCGCATAGAGGAAGTGGGTCTTGTGATACTTTCTCTCCTGCGGGACATACTACACGCGACTCTCCTACAACTGCTTCAGGACTGAAGCGAAATGTCTATCCACATTTCTCAGCACCTGTAAATATAATAAACTACGTACATCAACATGAAAACCCAGAATAACCGTTCGTTTGCAGACTGCGCTAAAGCCTATTGAGCCCCTTTGCAAAAAGCTCAGAACGACGTTTCACACCCAGTCCTTCGGCCAAAGATGCTGAGCCTGGCAAAATGTTCCCCACGGCCACAGGAACAAAGTAATCTAAGGTCGGGGCTCCCTCAACAAAAACGCTAAACACCAATCTTTATGATTCTGCTTCTAGCTAACACAGCGCCTTAATGATAACAACAAGATTTTGGGGTATACTGTAAAACAGTTTTTCCTTCAGGAGCCTTGACGACGGAATAATCTTGGTCATTGTTCAAGTCTCTCCTGTCGCTGACACAGCAACGCAAGGTGGGGGAGAAGAGATCAGGCGGCGTCAGAGAGGTATTTTCGCGTCGAGAACGTGGCAGAAACCAGAATTACGTGTATTGCTAGCTGCTAGCAAGTGTTGCAGACTTCCTTAATGTGCCGCCCAACCTTAACTTCGCTATAACAGCGCTGCTCCTTCGAAACTGTATCTCG